CTCTGACATTTCAACCTGTATTTATGGCATATTAACACTAACAGCTCTCATCCGAGAATCTTATTTTACTTTACAAGTATGAAATGTGCCACAAATAGTTCATTCATTCTTTAAATGCAAAGGTTTAAAGAGAGATTTGGTCATCTATAGCAGGACACACTCACTGAACTGAAGAGTCGGACAGCACCACAACTGTGTGAGATTCAGTGGTCATGACTGGACATTGTTCTTAACCTCCTGCTCCCAACATCACAAGGCATTTTAGTAAGTGTTTTGCACTGCTCTCATTGCTGTGCTGAGCCACCCAGGGCAAGAGCAAAACTTACTTTGGTTTTTGCATGAGCAGGTACCTCGAGGTGCTGCTCCACAGAGTGGCTTTGGCTGATGAAAGCCGCGGTTGCCAGGATAAAGCCTTTATTTCCTTTCCTCACAGAGCATTCCCTCTTGCTCCTGTGCCAACCCTGACATGCTTCAAAGACCTGAGCAAGAAGGAAACACAGCCAGAACACTTGGCCACAAATGAGATTACTGTCAGGAAAAGGAGCAATGCTGCCAGAGCAAGGAAAACATCCCAGGCTGCAATGGGATCAGAGCAGAGCTGGCTGGGATCTGCATAGACTGGCATGGAACTGAACCCTCTACACCTTTTCCATTGAGTAACTGAGTACTAAGGCTGATGAACTTCACTCCCTGCTCACCTGTGTGCCTAAGGACCACTGCTTTTTGCCATCAATTCACTTACAAAATCAGAGTGGCTCATCTTACAACAGCAGAGCAATGAAATGCATCTCCAAGTGCTCCAGCAGCCCTCCCAGAGAAGCATGGCACAGGAAATACAACTCAAGAGCAGCTTTGCTGCAAGATCACTCACGTTGCTGGTCACCAGCCCTGGCTGTGTGCTGCAGAACACTCCATCTCCCTGCTCAAAACCTGTGCTCAAGGGCCATCCATCTCTGTAAGGAAGGACATGTCACAGCCTCTGGGCAGAGGAGCATCACATGCAAAGAGAAAGGGTTCTCAGTCAACAGTTTCTGGTATCTCCAGCTCTGCAGTAGCAGAGCAGTAGTGTGTGGGCAGAGAGCAGGCTACAGTTTCTCTTGCTCCAGTCACCTTATGGTTTCAGCAATGTTTAGGTTGCTAAATCACACCAGTTTAGGAAAATGCCCACAAGCATTAGACAGAAGCCCCCCAAAAAGGGAAGTAATAACTGTCAGTGTCTTCTCAGTAGGCACACCAGCAGACAGCTTGCTAAAGATACATGTCCCAGAGCATATATGTGATTTTTCCCCCTCAGAAGCAAGAAAATAGATACAGACCACTTAAAAACTGAGATCCATCAACTACAAATGCTAACACTGCAAAAGGAGAGGAAGTCTCTTCCTTGGAGGCAAATAGCAAGAGTGCCCAGAGAAGCTGTGGCTGCCCCATCCCTGGCAGTGTTCAAGGCCAGGTCGGACACAGGGGCTTGGAGCAACCTGCTCTAGTGGAAGGTGTCCCTGCCCGGGGCAGGGGTTGGGGCTGGAGGAGCTTTAAGGTCCCTTCAACACAAACCACTCTGTGATTCTATGATATCAGGATATTGAGCACACATGGAGATGTCTTTGCCTTTTCTCCAGCAGTAGAAGACACCATAGCTGACAGGGTGATCATCCTGTCACTAGAGAGGTGACACTTCTGAAGAAGCTGAACGAACACTGGTATTGTTGAGCAGGGACAGACAGATGCCTCTTTCTCATCATGGTATCACAAGAAAGTGCTAAAAAAAGGTAATTGAACTGTTAGAGCCTCTGTGCTGTAGACAACAGCAAAGAAGAACATCTCACTGAGTGACTGCTGCAGCATGTTCACCAGCTGTTGGACCCCAACACTAATACAACAGAATAGTCCTTACAGAGATTTGACCTGGCCTAAACCAGTAAAACAACATAGAAAGACTATGCTGCACCCAAAACCTCCTTCTTCCAATGCATGTACACCACTGTGCCTTTCACACAGCACAGCCCTCATCATTTGGGCTGGGATGGTGCCAGAAAACTCAGAACTCCTTCACTGCATTGTCCTGAAGCAACTATTGATGTCAGAACATTGCTCAGTGCTCTTGTAACACATTTCTCCCCAGCAGAGTACTTGGTCCTACAGTAATGAGGCTCTTCAGAAGCATATTCCACCTACAACTCCACTGAAGAGCTAAATGAGCCCCACACACCAAATGCCAAGTTAAAACTGAAACAAGTTTCAAATCTCTCCTGTTGGTTCAGCAAAACCAGCACAGGCTGAGCTGCCTCCTGTACAAGTAAACACCTTCAAACCGGGTTTTCCTCAACAAGGCAGCTCTAATAGTCTGACAAAATGATTTTATGGGTTGTTTCTTTTCTAACACTCCAGTACCCAACTCTAAAAGGTCACTGTCTTCCTCCTGACAGCTTCAGGATTATTCTTCCCTTCTCAGAGGTCAAAAATATCTAAGATCTGCATGTTCAGTATCTAAGCATTGCACAGCACTGTGCCACCCATCTGAGGCTACACCACAGGGCTTGGTGCAGTTATTAGGAAGCATTCTGAAACCCAGCTGAAAGAACAACTCCCACATTTTCCAAAAGGAACACAATTTTCCAGCCCACCAGGAGTACACATTACTATTATCATCAGTATTGTTATTCTTGTTCCCTGTGAGGGTGCTGAGGCGCTGGCACAGGGTGCCCAGAGAAGCTGTGGCTGCCCCATCCCTGGCAGTGTTTAAGGCCAGGTTGGACACAGGGGCTTGGAGCAACCTGCTCTAGTGGAAGGTGTCCCTGCCCGTGGAACTGGATGAGCTAAATTTAAGGTCCCTTCAACCCAAACCAGCCAGGGATTCTATGATGATTACTTTTGTACAGAGCTATAAAGAGAGAACCTTCCTGCCATGTGTTTCACATGCTGAGATGCACAATGTACATGTGCAAAAGATGTGAACTGCAGAGTCGGGTCAAATTGTTCTGATGTGATGAATAAACTTCATTCATAATGACCTGAAGGAATTGCACCATTTCCCTGATGCACCTCCCCAGGAACCCACTTCCTCCAAGTTTCCATCCTCCCCAATGCAGGCACTATTTAAATAACACTTTTAAAACTGAGTTTTCTGCTCTTTCTGCTGCAAACATAAGGTCTCCTCAAAAAAAAACTGTCATCCTTATTGGGAAAAAGAGAATAGAAATAATTTGGCTTTGGGATCAAAGGTTTTCCTACACTGTAAGGTGAAAAACCATTTTAATCCACTCCAATATAGCTAATGTACAAAAACCCACAAGATGTTGCACAAAGAAATGGAAAGATTTCCTCCTTCCATGTCAATGCTCATCTCTCACCCTAAACCAGCAAGGGATTATGAATCTTAAAGTGCTGCATTACAAAAGCTCCTCTGGAAGCTTTTCTGAGTTCCTCTGACACCCATGCTGTCAGGCCAGCAGCAATGAAACCTTTACAATGGGTTGTTCTATTTTTCTTGGCATGTATCGTACAGAAAGCCTGGCCAACTAGTTTCTCCCCAACACAAAAAGCACGTTCACTCTTCTCCATGTGCACACCAACACATGCTTCTGTACAGAAGCTTTATCAATGCTGTTTTGGAACAGCCATAACTCACTCCCAATTTCACCACTCATAAGGAATGGGACCATCATAAACTCTCACTGCTAAGGGGGAATTCCCAGCCATGTCACTCTGTTTCACTTTAGATATAGTCTTGGAGGATTCTTACTCCCAAACCTTTGTCCTCCTGGGGCAAGGTCTGCAGAACTCCAAGCTCTTCACGTTTTCCTAGACCTCATGGATGACATTAAGCTGACTGGAGGTACCACACACAAAGCTTGTTCCTCATGTTATCAAGTTTAATCCTTCTCTAACAGGGCCAGACAGCTCCAATTCTACACCACTCTTCTGTTTAGAAAACCCACCATTAACTTCTATTTGGACATTCCCCATCAAATGTTTTGCAAGAACAATGCTGAACGGATGTGAAAATCTTTACCAGGGAGAAAACTGCTCCAGCTTTCTTTAATAAAGATATTAACTGCTCTAGAAAGACGAACAAGCAGGTAAGCAGACACTGGAGGTGATCAAAAGCCCATAGCTTACATTTACCATGTCCAAAAAGTATCAGAACTCTCACCACGCACAAAGTGGGCTGTATTTGTGTAAGCAAAAAACCTGTGTGCATCACTGCAGGGTCAAACAAGCCTTTAGAGCAACAGCTAAATAGACCTGAGCCCAACAATGAAAAACTGTGGTAGAGTAGGAGGCAGAGAGCATTTGTCATGAACAGGCCAGAGGGGGAATGACCACCATGAATCTTGCCACCTCTTGTAAATGAAGCCAGGCTCATGTCTTTGATCTCCTCTATCAAATACAGGGCGAGGTCTACATCTGTGTACTATATATAAAGGCAACTCCCAAATAAATAAATCCCCTAATGTGCATGTGTAGCCTCACAGCAAGAATGAGAGAACAGGCATGTGATAGATGCTCTGCTGCTTGTGAGAGTCTCAGATGCTCAAGTGATAGGCATGGTACTACAATAAAGCCTAAGTAAGGTATAGCTTCAGTATCCTACACTTAAAAATAAGACTCACAAAGGAATTCCCTGAAAACATGCTGGGAGCAAGTGTCTCAGCTGACTATAACCCAGCCATAACGACAAGAGAAGACAAGTGATTAGAGCTGTGGCACTTTATAAGACAGGCATGACATGGTAACACTGAATGAAAATGTCACTGTGTGAAAGCTTCTGATAAATCACTTGGTAGGCAAAAGGGATCAACCTTTCCATACACCATAAGGATGAAGCCACAGAAATATTTTGCTGATATTTAAGCTCACTGGGGTTTAACAGTGTGTTATAAATGTGGCTACTTACCATAAATCAAGGCAAATTCCAGCACAGCTCACTCTTGAGTGTGCCAGGTATTCTGGCTATAAAAGCTGTATCAAGCTGAAACGGTGCCCACCCAAAAGATTCTTACCTGCAACACATCTTGGATCTTCACCCACACATCAACCATGTCATAGAGCTTGATATCACCGTCATACTGGCTGCAAGGAGAGGCCACTGTTTGCTGAAGGTGTCCAAGGACCACTGAGTGCGCGGCAGCCACAGCGTTGAACTTGTCAAAGAGAAGTTCCAGCAGCTCCAGCAGCAACCTGTGAACCACCAAGACAACCACCACTCAGTTTCCAGAAGATACCGCAGGGACACGGTCATGCAGCACATGAGAGGAGCAAACCAGGAGTCAGAAGTCCCACACAAGAGGGACGTGGAGCTGCTGGAGCGAGGCCAGGAGGCCCCGGAGCTGCTGCGAGGGCTGGAGCAGCTCTGCTCTGGAGCCAGGCTGAGAGAGCTGGGCTGGGGCAGCTGGAGAAGAGAAGGCTCCTGAAGGGGACACCTTAGAGCAGCTCCAGGGCCTAAAGGGGCTCCAGGAGACCTGGAGAGGGGCTTTGGACAAGGGATGGAGGGACAGGACAAGGGGAATGGCTTGAGCCTACCAGAGGGGAGACTGAGATGAGCTCTGGGGCAGAAGCTCTTCCCTGTGAGGGTGCTGAGGTGCTGGCACAGGGCGCCCAGAGAAGCTGTGGCTGCCCCATCCCTGGCAGTGTTCAAGGCCAGGTTGGACACAGGGGCTTGGAGCAACCTGCTCTAGTGGAAGGTGTCCCTGCCCATGGCAGGGGTTGGAGCTGGAGGAGCTTTAAGCTCCCTTCCAACCCAAACCAGGCTGGGATTCTATGACCTGTGCATACAAGCAGAATACAAGATATTCATTCTGAATTATGAAATGAATAGTATGGCAGGTTTTAACAACATGAAGTATCAGAAACCTAAACCATAAAGCCTCATCAACTGTGTCAGTTATCAAGATTTTACTACTATATGGAAGGTACTACAGCTATAACCTCATCTCAATGTACTACACTTTACCTGCTCCTATGGCTTCCTTACTGCCCAATTACTGTAATTAATGGACCGTTGCACATTCCTGAATATCTTGTGATAAGGCAATGACTCAACAGGTTTTATTATGTGAGAATGGAAGGATCCTGATGGAGTTCACTGCCGTTTAATGAGCAATTCAAGTACACACGTAACCCCAACAAAATGTGAGGATAACACTTCCCAAATCCATATGTTAGGCACTTCCAGCTCTGACAGACAGGCTCCATCACATTTAACTGCAGCAGCTTAGGAGTTACCACATGCTTGCTGCATCTACCCATCAGAAGCTGCTATCCCCAGAGCAGGACAGAAGATCTAGAGCAGAATTGGAGTCGCACCCACTCCTTAGCCACCACACTTCAGTCTTCTGTGTTAGTTAACCATCACTAATGAGATGTGTGTTCACACCTCAGCCACTTCATCTCAGAGTGCTGAGTATCTGCATGCATCCACTTCCTTCAGCGGTTTATTATCTGGAGTAATTAAGAAGCTGTTGCACATTTGCTGCTGTTACCACCAGACGAGTAAGAGTGGCCTCACAGGATGCTGTGGTTAAAACCACCCACCTCAGCCTAGAGTAATCCTGAACTGAACTTCTAGTCTGCAAAAGACAGAAAGTGGCTATTGCTTAACAGAATTACTATCAACTAACTGTGCCTCATTCATATACTATAGTTTCGTGTCTATGGATACACATGCATGGCATTATACAGCAGTCTCCTAGGATCTCACATGGGCCACTCACCTGCTGTCAACTACCAGCTCAAATGGTTAAGCAGAAAAGCACCTTGATTCAATAGAAAGAGCCATCAGGTAAGTCTGGGAGGACACAGTGAGGCCAGATGTACATCATATTAAAGATGTGTTTAGGAGTCATGGTATCATTACCTAAACCATTTTGTGATAAGAAACACAGGACATTAATACTGCCATACCTCAAGTGACAGCATCAGGAAAGACAGCTACTATCAACAATAACAGTATTACCTTTTCAACACGGGAAAGTCCAGTGTGGAAGAAAAGCTATTTAAATCCATTAAGGTTTTGTATCATCACAGAACCACAGACTAGTTTGGGACCTAAAAGCTCATCCAGTTCCAGCTCCCTGCCACGGGCAGGGACACCTTCCACTAGAGCAGGTTGCTCCAAGCCCCTGTGTCCAACCTGGCCTTGAACACTGCCAGGGATGGGGCATAATAAAACTTAATAACTATCCTGCCCAAGTGAAACTGAGAAGTTGCTACTGTGGAAAGACCTCTACATCTTCCTCCCTCCCCATCAAAGTTAGTCCATCACCAAAGGCACCAGTGAAGGAAACAAAAGAACCTGCAGATAAAGCTCCCTGAGAAACACCCTCCATCACTGTTAACAAGTGTCTTCTACAGCCCATTCTAAGATATGGGAGAGGCAACTATTGCTTCAACAGCCCCTAAGAGATATATAGAGCTTCACATAGTAAGTGGCAGAGAGGCAGCTGGGGCATGTGGCTGGCCAGAGAGAAGCCAGATATACAAATAAAGGAGGAAAAGCATATATAGAATGATTTGGGTAGACAAGGAATTTCATGTTGGAGGAACAGCCTCGCTTGACATGACAGAGAAGGTAACTTTATGGGAGCAAATAGACTATATACCACTGAAAACCTAACAGGGCAAGCCCAACTTCTTCTACCATCCCACCACAAAGAACACATTACTCTTACACAACTCTGCTGCCCCAGGGAAGCACAGTTTTGCAGCACCAAACAAGCTGGAATTTTGGACAATTTCTGTTGGCCCTAGGTGAGCCTGACCTCACATTATCACTTCAGTAGTATTTCAGTAATAGCTCCATACACTGAATTACTTGGTTTTCAATTCCAATGTCTTCCTATCCCCACGTGATAGCCATCAAGTCTCCCTGACCCACGTTCTTCACTGGCCCTAACTACCACCCCATTACTTGTTCTCTGCTAATGTCAGATTTCCACAGCTCCCTGTTTTTCACATTAGCCAGCTCCTCTTCTCTTAATTTTCTTTGCTCTAAAATCTGTCAGGTCCTTTTTGAAACAAGGTGACCCAAGAGACACAGACACCACCCGTGTCAGACAGCCAACGAGACAAAACAGCAGAAAACCATCTGGCCTAGATTTTATGCAGATGGAGCTGCAGCACAGAGTGACCTAAGGAGAACACATACAGAGAGTGACAGGAGACTGGCTGGGGCAATTTGTCAAAGCAATCTCATCACCTCTTCACCCAGGAAGATGGTAAATGTGTGGAGAGACAGTGACACACACCCAGAAGCAGCTCCTGTTGTCTGGACAGTAAGGGAGAAGGAGTTGATGCAGAGTGACTGCTGACATCTGAATGAGGCCAGGGATGACAACTCACGCATGTGAGCAGCAGTAGCATCCTCTGCCTGGTCTGAGCGTCGGTGTGGGTATAATTTGTCTTTATTTTAAAGCCTCAAGATGAGGTGAAAGTCCAGAAGCAGATGAAGAACACGGAGGGAAATGTGGATTGAATCCAACAGGATTTAGTAGCAAAATTGTTCATATACCACAGAAAAATTTGGGTTGGGAGGGACCTTTAAAAGTCATCTAGTCCATCCCCCCTGCAATCCAAAGTGCATCTTCTATATATCCCGGGCAAAATCTTGTCCTATAAATCTGACCCTCAAGTAGGTATGTGTCCAGATCAGTATTAAATCAAATCTCTTCCATAATTCAGAAGGTTCATGTATCAATACTCCAAGCTAACACAACATGGTCTCTCCTATGATGCTTGTCCTCCACAACCCAAGATACACATATCTAAACATGAAGGAGACCTGCTGTAATGAGCCACTAAGGGTAAGACAAAGGCAATTCCTATTTTTAAGCCCTTTTCACAAACTCATTCCAAGCACAGATACCTAAAAACTTATCCTACTTTTAAAAAGTCCACTCAAAGCTGAGGTCAGTGCAACCAGGTGAGATTCAAGGATGATTTCCAAAACTATCTTCTACCATGACAAGGAAATACCAGGAACCTCTTCCTGCCCTTTAAGGGGTTTCACTATCTTCATATCACTCACATTTCATGGTGCTAAGTGCATGTTAGTAAGGAGGGTTTACATCATAGCAAAGTATCTCACAGCCAAAGATGTTCCATCTAGTTAGGCCTATCCTAAGTCTTATCCTACATGACTGATCCATGTTGTGTGTTTCGGGAAACTCCAGGATCAGGTATATCAAAGAGCCATACAAGTCCTTCCTCTGCCACCCCACTGGTGACAAATATACTGCTGCCATTACATGGAGGTCCTTAGCAGGGCTCGTGTCATCTTCAATAAACAGGACTTTCCAGTGTCACACCAACTCTGCTGAGCTGAAACTGAGTGCTCAAACCTAAGGACAAGGACAACACACCCATGGTGGAATGGGCTGTGTGTTATCAACTGCTCTGGTACACAACATCTAGTACAGCATGGATGAGACTTGCTCCTGGCAGGCTCACAGGAGCTACAGGACTTCTTAAAGCTCTGAGGAGATGACCCGAGAGGCTGGTGGCTCTATGAAGAGAGCACCCAGAGGTGTGTGAGACATTCATTACCCTCTAGGAGCTTGTTGCTTTAGTCACAACAAAAAAAACCCAATCTTAAAATCTTTATATGATAAATTTGGGAGTAATTAATAGTGTTTTTATACACAAAGGTGGACACAAAAATCAATATGGAAAAGCTTACTAGGTAAGGAAGCAAAAGACAGATAAGAAGGATGCATCTCTTCAGACTCAGTAGCTGCTGTTAGACCTGCAACTTTTCTGGCCAGGCCTAGAGATTACTTCTCTCTTGTACAATGAGATGATCTACATAATTGTTACATGGGGTCCCCAAAGGAATTACACCAGAACCTCCAAGATTATCAGCCCCATCTGCAAGTGGAAGGAAACACCACCCTTTCCATAGAGAAAGGTTAAGAGCCACCCAGAGAAGCTGTGGCTGCCCCATCCCTGGCAGTGTTCAAGGGCAGGTTGGACACAGGGGCTTGGAGCAACCTGCTCTAGTGGAAGGTGTCCCTGCCTGTGGCAGGGGTTGGAGCTGGAGGAGCTTTAAGCTCCCCTCCAACCCAAACCAGTTTATGATATAACTTGTTCTGTACATACCAAATAAGCCACAGGGACCTTGTCCAGCAGAAGGCCTCAAACCATGCAGGCCTCTCCATCATCTCAGTAGTCATTTTATTTGCCAGAAGTGAGAATTTTATGGACACTTTTTAAAGTACAGTAGCTGAATACAGGCACTGAGCTCAACCACAGAGAGTAAGAGGCATCCAAGTGTGACAAGCTTTAAGGTGAAGTGAAAACCATTCCACTCCCAGAATCCTGAGGTCAAGTACACACTGTGGCTGACAGCCTAATGAATAGGTAAGCAGTTTCGGGTGCTGCATCGTGCTCAAATTTGGGGTCTCACAGAGCTCTCTTGAAATAGCAGGACTTTGTTGTTCACATTGATTTGCTTCCTGACAGCAGGAAAGTCACTGGGATTTGATTTAAAACTGAAGCTAATTTAAGGGGCGGTGTACCTCCCCTCACTACAATTTATTCCTTTCAACATAAATGAATGCAACTGCTTGCTGTAAACTTCACATGTGATTTAGGTTTAGAATCAGGTCTAATTATCTCCTCATTCAACAAGAATTCAAGACACTCTCCATAGCTCTACAATATCAGCATCTTAAAGGCTCACAAACTCCTATTAAACACATGCCAAAAGCCATTAAACTTTTCTGTCCCTTACTCAACCCTCTGGGCAGATTAATGTCATGAAGATTTGATCTGATCCTATTTATCCATTTCAGTGGACAACCAGGTAGTCATACAACCTCTCAAGACTGATTCTGAAGTCTATCAAGTATATGCTACGCTCCCTCTTGGCATCAGTAACTAGAAACCTGCCTTCTGCTTGTTGTAATTTCACCAAGGTATCAGCACAGTAACTCTATGAGTTCTTCAAACATAATTGTTTCCACAGCAATGAGAATGAGAGGAATTAGAAAGGAAGTCTTTATCAGGCCAACATCTTCCTTGGGAGTCATTTTCCACTACAAATATTACGTGTAATGAAGATACACATTTTGGGTTTCATTTTTCTCTTCCACCACTCATTCCCTTTGGACAGTGATCATTCCAACGTGCAGTATCACAGATGAGTATTTCAGGTAGAAGTGATAGCTGGCCCTTATGGAATCCTATTTTCCAAGCAACAGGCCTAGTGAATCCTGAAGAATGGCAGGAACAGTTCCCTGTTGGCTTCCACACCTCATCACTAATGTAAATGGGCTGCAAACCAACCAGAAACTTGGGCAGGTATTTATTGATGTAGTTAGTTCCATCCAGGATTCCAAAGCTCAGCACCTGCATCAGTTTAATTGGACTCTGATATATTTGAAGTAACTGAGCTGAATCTTCTCTTAAAATCACAGTACTCAGGAACTTCAGAATGTGTCTGGCATCAGCACCAGCGTAAAGCCACAATTCAGTGAAACACAAGATGATAGGATTTGTTTTGGCACAAGTGTTCTTTACACTGTAGATACCAGCACCCTGAGACAGCATTACAAATCAAGCTGCTGTAAAGGCACTTAAAATGAAAGATTAGGTTAAAATATAAAGAAAATCAAGTACTTAACACAATGAACCTCTTAGTAGTTAAATAATGTTGCCTTCTACTGTGCTTCCACCTTCAAATCTGCATTTCCAACATCTGTTTAGCCAAAAGATTCTCTTCTAGGGCCAAGCAGAGAAGGAAGCATCTCCCTTTCCCATATCCTTAGCTGAGTAGCAACAAATGCCTCCCCTTTCTGAATATGTTTCCTGAATTCCCAAGCCTTCCAGGTGCACATCAGCCTTTCAGTGAAACACAGGGATTTCTGGCAATGTTACCATTCCATCTCTCTGCTACTACAAAATCACTACTGCCATTCCTCCAAGTGGCATTTAATAGCTACAACACCCTTCCCCAGACTTGTTTTTGCAGCAAAACAAGGTTTGGTGGTTACAACATCCTTACCTAGGCTGGTTTTCCTGGGAAAGGTTCTCCCCTCTCTGGTAACCATTGTCTGCCACTTGGGTTGTGGAGCGCTTCACAATCTGCTTGAGTTCTTGTTCTAAGCGATCCTGGATGGCTTTCACTGTCTCAGGGATTTTTTTCAGCTTGGCCAGCCCTTTGATGAGTATTCCCATGAAGACAGTGCTGTTCTCCTCTGGATCCAGTTCCGCATCTTCTTTAATTTCCAGAAGGCTTGTGTCTCGCACTGGAATAGATTCACAAAGGCATAATCCAAGATTTCAACTATTAAACCCAACACTTAGCACCACGCAGAAGCAGCATATCAACTCCTTTGCCTTCACAGAACTCCCACCACTTGGAGCAACCAAGGAGTAAATAAGGAAACCAGCAACACCCAGAATCTGGATATTTCTGTTTGCTTGGGGGCTTCCCTATATATAAATACACCAGCCTGCACATTTGATTGATGTAGGAGTGAGAGCTCATGGTGTAAGTTATGTATTAGGAAACAAAGGAAGTCTGGTGTAATTAAGATATTCATAAAGGAGGTTTTATACCACTATAAATCCCTTGAGTGTGTTTCAAGAAGCTACAAGCCCTGAATTTCTAACCCAGCTGTTTTTCTTCACTGTATTCTTCACAAGAGAAGAGTTTTGTTCTAAACAGCATCAAGCTTAACAGACTTCGACGAATTCAGCAAAGTTTCCACTGCCAAAGTGAATGATTGTTTGATGTTATCCTACTCTGCCTTATTACGTCTGTCAAGGGGTTGATGAAGTTACTCAAATCTTTAAACAAGGCTTCTGGAAAGGAAAAGTGAGAAGAATTAGACAGGATATTGTGGATACAGTCCTGAAGTTAACAGGGATTGCACATGGAGAAATTCTGTTGCTAAGAGACAAGGAAGAGGAAAGCAAGAGGTACTTTTATGTATGTTCATTAAGCAACATCTCTTACTTTACAGATAACACCCAGCAACAACAAAAGTATGTTCCTGTTAAAGACTGGGTGAAGCACTTAATAAACATATTCAATCACTGATGTGAATTAAGTGTCTTCAAGGCAAACTCATCTAATGCATCTTGGAAGCTCTATAGCCACAGTGGCAGCACATGGACCAATGTGGTGGTGTTCTCCCTGCCCACCATCCTCACCCTTATATAGCCCAACTCTGCTCAAGACATAACCAGCAGTGGTGGTGCTAATGCATGTGTCTGGGGCCTGGTGGTCCATGGGACTCAATTCAGGGGACACAGATAACACAACAGCCAAGGGCTAACCTGAACAACGTGCACCACCCCTCCCCAGCCATAATCCTGGGCAAGGTCCAACTCAAGCCAAGTTTCTGTAGTTGGGATGCAAACATGACTATGAGTCAATCAGCTTACTCCATAAGTAGTAGACAGCTCAGGGCCTGTGGAGCTCTCCTGCATGGCAGCAGGCTGCACACCAGGATGACCCCAGAGTAGGGACACCTTTCAAGGTTACTCCTTGAGGTTAGGAGATTCCTTGCCACAACAGGTTCTCAGTAAGCAATTAAGAGCATGCTAAACTTTGATGTCTGAGCTAAGGGGTACAAAGGATTGATTGCACATATATACCCCTTTAGACATAAACTGCTGACGAAGTCTGGGACTAAGTTTGGATCGAGCTGCACTTAGACTCCTCTCTGGGGAGGAGTTAGAATCCAATGAGGTTCTTTCTGAACCTCACAACACAATGGGAGGGACTCTGACAGTTATGTCTGACCCTGTCCTCTGTGCAGTCAATAGTCAAGTGTTTCACCATTAAATCTTGCTAAATCACTGTCACATTTACTATCAAACTTGGCTAAATCACTATTTCATATCAATAAACATATTACTACTTCTCTCTTACGAGTGAAGTGCATCTCTCAATCCACGACAACAAACAGCACTGAAGTACAGGCCTGAAGCTGTGCCATCCACCATACCAAATCCCTGCATGGGAAGTCAAACCCAGCGGCTGTTGGATGGTGACAGATGACTCCTGGGGTTTACAACCAGTCAACAGAATTGTTACTTAAATCAAAACTTCTCCAACAACCTGAAGGAATGTCAAAAGATCCACCAGAAGGATTTAAATGACATGGCAGAAATGAGAAATGACACAGCACAAGTTGCACCCAGCCCTGTAGATGCTTGAAGGTGTCATACTCTGAACATCAGCACCCTCAAGTTACAAAACAACAGCCCAAAGAGCCCATATGGTGTAAACAGCACCACGATGAACACCTAACGCTTATTTCAGTGTCAGCTTACACCAAGCTCCACAGCAAAGACATGGTTTGTGTTGGAAGGGACCTTAAAGCTCCTCCAGCTCCAACCCCTGCCCCGGGCAGGGACACCTTCCACTAGAGCAGGTTGCTCCAAGCCCCTGTGTCCAACCTGGCCTTGAACACTGCCAGGGATGGGGCAGCCACAGCTTCTCTGGGCACCCTGTGCCAGCGCCTCAGCACCCTCACAGGGAAGAGCTGCTGCCTCAGAGCTCATCTCAGTCTCCCCTCTGGCAGGTTGAAGCCATTCCCCTTGGCCTGTCCCTACAGGCCCTTGTCCAAAGCCCCTCTCCAAGGGACAAGATCAGGTTTTAGGTAGTGAACATCAAGGAGATGAAATAGTGCTTTTTTCCTCCCTTATAGATACCTTTTCCAATTTTATTTGGGCAAGTTATGGGGTAAGCAACTAGAAACACCCAGAACACGGTAAATTTTTGGGAGAAGCAAGGATGCACACATATTCCTGCTCAACGCTCTCATCTATCAGATCCCTTTCAACCTACAAGGCTGCGAAGCACTTCATGTACTGTGTACATGGTCTACCCATGTTAACCCTACGTGTTACTCTCAGAACACCACAGCATGGCAGGCACAAAGACAGAAGATGAGCTCTTTGGAACAAGAGCTATGGAAAAGACAGGGCTGGAAATGTTAGAGGGAAAAAGGTTGTAACTTACTGTTTTTAAAAAGCCTCAAATATCTTGATCCTCTAAGTTCAATGTGAGGATTTCACACTAAACAACTTTGTAGGGACAGGTCCCCATCATCATGCTCCATCCCCTTTGTAAGCAGGCTGCAAATTATTCTTAATGACACACAATGCAAACCCAAGAGGGAGGAAACGCTGACATATCCAAATGCGAGGACAGCATTTAAGAGGACTAACAGCAGCAATCTGGCTGAGAACTCTGCCAGCACATCAGATGTGTGTGAAACTCTCCCGTTTTCAAAAGAGCAAACCAATTTTGAACACCCTCAAATATCAAGACATCGATTTACATCTCTTATAAACAACAGCAAAGTGAATGGCTCAAGATCTAGTAGCAAGAAGTTTTGTTAGATCTGGTCCTTTGCTAGAACAGTGGGGACCAAGTTTCCTGCACGTTGTGCCTATTAAGCAGGTATCCTGGGTAGCTTTGGGAGCCCATTGATCTCTAAGATCTGACAAGATCCCAACCCTGGGTAACTGAAGATGTTCTTCTTTTCCTGTGTCTTCCACACTTCAAACATCCTCTTCTGCCATTTAATGTCATCAAGGGGTTATTTGACCACAAAGCTTTGGCCCAGGAATAAGCCCCTCCTGTTCCCTACCTTTTAAAAAAGGCATCAAAAGCAGGCAGGCATTTATATGGAAGTGCATGTTTAAAAGAGCAATTCCATATGCCACTCTCTGGGTGAAAGAAGATATTCCTACATATCAGCTCTCAGAAATGAAAGATACACTTCTATTTTCCTTTAAACTTATGAACAACTTTGGTATTCATTGGTATGAAGGCAAAAATCACAACACTTTCAGAGTTTCATCCTAGCTTTGATTCTTGGAGAGAAGGGGGGTCAGCAGAATGGCTACCTTGGACTTGTGGAGGGCAGACTTTGGCCTGTTCAGGAGCCCTTGGGATGCAGTCCTGAAGGGCAAGAGCCCAGGAAGGTTGGACATTGTCCAGGAAGGAGTTATTCAAGGTGCAGGAGCAGCCATCCTCATGTGCTGAAAGATGAGCTGGCAGGGAAACCTGGCCAGGGATTTGGCTGGAACTCAGGAAGAACAGGGGAGTTTAAGACCTTTGGAAGAAAAGGCAGGTCACTCAAGAGGACTACAAGGGTGTTGTAAGGTTATGAAATGAGAAGGGCCAAAGCCCAACTCACATTTCCTCTGGCTACTGCTGTAAAAGATAATAACTATCTCTCTATAAATGCATTAGCAACAAAAGGAGGGCGAAGGAGAATCTCCATCCTTTATGGGATGCAGGGGGAAACCTAGTGGCAAAGGGTGAGGAAAAGGCTGAGGTACCTAATGGCTTCTTTGCTTCACTTTTTAATAGTAACATCAGTTGTTTTCGGGGTACCCAGCCCCCTGAGCTGGAAGACAGGGACAGGGAGCAGAATGAAGCCCCCATAATCCAAAGGGTAAACCAAATGTCTCCTGACATTCAGAGGGAACCTCCTGTGTTTTGGCTTGTGCCCACTGCATCTGGTCCTGGCAGTGGGCACTGAACAGAGCCTGGCTCCAACCTCTCTGCACCCTCCCTTCCAGGTAAAGGTCCCTCTTGAGCCTTCTCCAGGATGTGCAGTCCCAGCTCTCTTAGCCTTTCTTCCAAGGACAGATGCTCCAGACCCTTAATCCTCTTCATGACCCTGAGCTGGACTCTCTCCAGTACATCCATGTCTCTCCTGTACTGGGGAGCCCAGCACTGGAGCCAGCACTCCCCAACATGTCCCAGTGCCTGTGGTTGTTCCACTCCAGAGGCAGGACTTAGCAATTCCTCTGGTTGAACATCAAGAGGTTCCTGTCAGCCCATGTCTCCAGCCTATCCGAGTCACTCTGGATAGCAGCAAGACCCTCCGGCCTATCAACCAGTTTGGTGTCACCTGCAAGCCCACTGAGGGCACACTCTGCCCCATCATGCAGATCAGCAAATAACACATAGAACAGGACTGAACCCAGTAGGACCCCACTGGCTACAAGCCTCCAACTAGACTTTGTGCCACTGATATTGCCCTCTGTACCCAGCCATTCAGTCACTTCTTGAGTCACCTCGACCCCAACTCAGGTAGGGTTGAGTGACCCAACCTGACTACAGCTTGGATGGTGCTCATCCAACCTGTACATCTACTGGTTTTCCATTGGGATCATACAGAAGACGGTGTCAAAGGCCTTACTGAAGAGCAGGCAGACAATATCCACTGCTCTTCTCTTGTCTACCTGTTATATCATAGAAATTTATCAAGTTGGTCAAAGCATGAATTCCCCTGGGTGAAGCCACTCCTGATGATTTTCTTGTTTTAAGGATCTCTGAAACATGCTTATGAAACAGAACATTTAAATATGGTTCCTCAAAAGCCATCCAAGCCAACAAGCTCAAGCAGTGATGGTTTTGCCACATTCTCTCATGAAACATTCAGCCACTTCCAAAATATCATCACTGGAGCAGTGCACCTGAAAACACACAGCTCTGTGTAAGCAGACAAAAATATGCCCTTAAAGCACTAGTAAGTTGAATCATGTGCATCACTGATACATCACCTCCACGGCTGAAGGTGGAAACTTCCCTGACAGCTTCTAGGTTTGCTGGTGCCCCATTAAACCATCTATTCCAATTGATGCTACCCTCATTTGTACACTTGTGTCATTTCACAACAAAGAAACCTGCTGCAAGAAGCATTTTAATAGCTCTGGTCTGATGCCCAGAAAGGCCAATGCTGATAACTCGTTCAAGCAAAGCAGCTCAAAGACTCTTGGGTCTTGTTTTTCATTGCAATGAATGGCCAAAATTTGCTGCTCCTCATTACAGGAGATTCCATTAGCTGTGTGCTTTTATGGGCACCTAGTAAAATTTCATGTACTTTTGCCCATGATTTATGTCCTGTCTGATTATACTCTTTCAGCCTTCAATCCTTCTAAAGAAAAGGATGCAAGCTCAAAGTGCCCCAGAGGCATAATTTGAAGTGTGAAGAAACGTCACCTCCTCATTTCTGATGCTGAATCCCTGTTCTGACCCATGCACAGACACAGTGAGCCACAAATGGACAGTTACTTTAGAAATGGGGCCTTTAAAGATTTTGGTCATTTTCTGCTCCACTTTACTACCAAGCCCAAAGAAAATGGGTCTCGGAGATCAATAACCTCAAAGCCTCAAGGCAAATCTCCTCTTCATAAAGCTGTTGTTCACACTGTTCAATCTATAGCTTTAAGGATGTTGGTCTTTCAAAAACATTTTGATTTGACAAGGCCACTCTTCCAAATTCATTGCAAGAACATTTCATTCTGGCAAAGCTGGACAAAGCAATTCTGTCAGCCACGTTCAACACCCTCCTGATACACACCAGCATGACAACTGAGTCTCCAGATAAGAGGGTGCATGTCTGGTAGTCAAATATCTTACACCAGGACCACATACAGGAACTGCTAATGAAATTACACAGGAAAAGTGACTATAGCATCATAGAATAAACCTGGCTGGAAAAGACCTTCAAGATCACCCAGCCCAACCATTCCCAGCCCTGCCAAGGCCACCACTAACCCCTGGCACTGAGGCCTCGGCTCCACGGGCTGGGAACACTTGCAGGGACGGTGACTCCAGCCCTGCCCTGGGCAGCCTGTTCCAATGCCTGAGCACCCTCTGGGCAAGGAATTGCTCCTCAGCTCCAGTCTGTTTCTCTTCTTGGCTTTCATCACAAGGACCTAAAAATCTCCTTCATTTTCCTTTTCCTTCCCCAAACACACAGATCACGCAAATCGGTGCTTAGCTTCAAGTCCGAACACAAACCATGAGCGAGGAGCAGTGAGAGGAATCACAGTCCTGCAAAAACAGACCAAAAGTTACTTCAGAGGCTTTCACGCCAATTGTGTGGTTGCAAACCCTGCTCCAAGTGCAGGAACTTCCTCTTAAACATTCTAAGTAATAAAGTTTATCCTGAAGTAAGAACAAGCTCTGCTCTTTCTGTGGCACTACAATGAGAGCCAGAGAGAACCAGATCCGCCATCACCTTCCCATCAAGTCCTCAGCTGGATTTGTGCAAATGCAAACCAGCTAAACCAGGACCCCTCTGGTTCAGTGAAAGCATCATTTAATACTTAGTACAAGGCATAGAGAAGTCACCAGCTGGTGTCAGATCCTCAGGTGAGGTTAACAGGCAAAGAATTCCCATTTCCATGGCTTCTATCAACCACTTAATCCTTTTAGTTTCATAGAATCCCAGAATGGTTTGGGCTGAAAGGGAGCTTAAAGCTCACCCAGTTCCAATGGACAGGGACACCTTCCACTAGAGCAGGTTGCTCCAAGCCCCTGTGTCCAACCTGGCCTTGAACACTGCCAGGGATGGGGCAGCCACAGCTTCTCTGGGCACCCTGTGCCAGCGCCTCAGCACCCTCCCAGGGAAGAGCCTCTGCCTAAGATCCAGTCTAAACATATTTATTGTACATGTTTGAAGTGGAAGCAACTGCTTAAACAAGCAGAATGCCACAAAGGCATTTTTAGAGCCATCTTTGAAACTGGACCTTAAAGCTCTGGCTCCTGCAGGTATTTCGCAGGGCCAAGCTCACAGGTCTCCGTATATTTTCACCTCCACACATGCACTTACATTCCCAAAGAACCAGAGCTGGGAGCTGGAACTAGACTTGACCACAGAAGCCACCATCCTGCTTGGATTTAGCAGCTGTATTTTTCTCTTTGAGCTCAGAAGGATGGGTCACTGAAGCATATTATCTGTTCAGCATAAAACTTACATACACCAGTGGCAACACTGTCACCACCTCAGCTCATCTTCTCTTGGATTTCCAACAAGTATTCTCCAGAATCCTTCAGAAAAGGGCACTTGGGGTTTGCTCTGTACTGGGTGAGCACATTTTATAGTTCCAGGAAGAGCCTGGCATTGCAGGAACCTTCCTAAGTACTGTTCAGAGTACAGAAGGTTCAAGGAGGCAGACCTAATTTAGAAGTGAATTTATTTCTCTGAACTGGCATGAAAGGAAAATGTTACTGGTGATCTGCCATAGCTGCAATCCTCAGGTGAACACAACCAAGGGGTTTGTTTAAGTGCAGCAGGAACAGCTTTAATTTCCTTATAAAGATTCTACAGCACAAGGTAACATCTCCTTTGGGAAGTGAATGCAGAAAGGACTTAAAATGTTGGCATCTTTGCTGGGCTGGGTTGAATGAGTCAGAGCTTCATCGTGACACACATTAATACGCACGACCACTTTGTTTCATCAATAAAAAGCCAAAGAACTGAAATGACTAAAGGCAGAAACAGCTTTTGTTATGCAGACACATAAGTTATAAATTCTCTAATAGTCGTGCAGTCCTGGAAAAGGCTTCTTTTAAATAGAATTATGGGGAAGAAATATCCATAAGTACATTGTGCACTTGAAACAAAACCATATGCACGCTTCATGCTGATCGAGTGTTTCCTATTATAACCCACATCTTTGCCAGTCTGAGGGACACTGGCCCAGCACTCAGTGATTCAGAGCATAAGGAGGAGCCAGGTAAAAGATTTTATGGTGTGTGGGGCATGAAGAGCAAGAAGAGATCTGCAGAAATGAGAGTTTTTAAGGCAGATGCTCAACTGACTTCTATCAAGTCACTAGTTGAGGATGAAGCCATCAAAGCCTTTCTTTTTCAGGCATTTGGAGTGAAAGGGGCAGTGCAGTTTTCTATTCACAAACTGAGTTCTTAGAGAGCACTGCTGTGGTTCTTACCTGCTGCTTGGACCCCAGAACCTTCATTCAAACACAGTATGAAATAACTGTTTCTTAGGACAAGGCATTTTAAACACCAACATTGCATCAAGCAAATGAAGTTAGAATTTGCTGATTTTAAGAAGTCTCAAATAAGTCAGAAAACACTGACATAGCTGTGCTTTGGGAACGTTAGTACCACTTCTTGCTCTGCTATCACAAGTGATTGATAACACACCTCTTTCTTCTTATACATGTGGGGGAAGCACGCAAAATAATTAGGAATAAGCTAAGAACCTTTCTTAGTTGAAAACAGTCTCACTACTTGTTGAATGGTTCAGGTAAGCATATTCCTGTTCTGACTGAAGCTACTAGATTAAATAGGAGTCCAAGTAAGCATGTCCCTGTTCTGACTGAAGCTATTAGATTAAACAAGGGTCTCACGTCCTGTTCTCAGTAAGATGGAAGAGTCTTGGCCTCATCTCTCCCTCCCATACAGTGAAAGGCAAGAATAAGCAAAAGAAAGGCTCTAGGAGGCAAGAAGGACAAGAAAAAACAGGAACAAGATGATAAGAAGAAAAGGATAAAAGAATAAATCAGGATGGGAAGAGAAGAAAAGATTCTCTGCATTTGAGGAATACTGAAACACTGGAATTTGGAGAAGGGGGAAGAGATGCAGGTCACTTTTCTATTATTCCTTTTATGAATGGGCTAAACAAGCAAATCCCACTTATTAATCCACTGAAACAATGCAAGGATTAATTCTCCTTCTCTGCAGCACTTCCAAAGCCTCATACAAAAGCAGCACTGAAACTTGAGTGTTTCATTCAGTGTTTGCTGTAGTAACAGGAATACAAAGATCACCACCAGATTAGCCTGTGTACAGAGAGATCTTTGGTGGGAGTTAGGAAGTTTCCCCAAGGAAAAGCTTTGACCTTTTTGGCTTCATCACAGCAAAAAAACCCCTTCTGCAGTATCTACACATACATATACCTACATTAAATAGTGTAGAGGAGACCTGTATGCCAACTGAGCTGACTGCAAATCTCTTCTGCTCAAGATATGAAGAACATGACCAAGATCAGAACAGGCACAGAAAACTAAGTGTATTTAATTGAAGCTGACTAGGGGGATAAGGAGGAATAATGATTTCCCAAAAGGAAAATGCAGCTATGGCCAAGTTCTGCCCCTGGACATAGCACTCACTCACTTCAGGACACTGCACAAAGCACTGCCTAACTGTTTGTTTCAGGACCTCCCATTAGCAGCCAGACATGAAGAGGGGATGATGTGCCTACTATGAGGAATACATAGGACTGAAATACTCACTGCTGGAGCTTCCTGGAGTACTGAACTGAGAAGTTTCCAGGAACTTTCGAGGTGTAGATAAGTTAGTAACATCCATAAGAGGTACAGGAGAGGCATCTTTCACAAGTGAACTGTGTGAGAGGAAAGAAAGCAAAGAGTTAACTATTACTTCAAGTTAATTTCTTACTTCAACAACAAATAATCCATTTATTTCTTCAATCCATAAGCCTAAGCAATAGATCTACATAACAGTTTTGATACATGAGGTTTACAACACCTAACTTAAAGCACAAGTCCACAGATAAATACAAGGAGGTGTCTGTATATACACATGGCTTCTGCCAACTAGTCAATCAAGCTTTTCCAGTTTCATAGAATCACAGGCTGGTTTGGGTTGGAAGGGTCCCCTAAGGTTGCTCCAAGTCCCATCCAACGTGGCCACAGGCCTCCTATGGACTTGCTCCAACAGCTTCATGTCCCTCTTGTGTTGGGGAAGCCAGAGTGGATGCAGGACTGCAGGGGGGGGTCTCACTGAGGACAGATTAGAGAAGGAAAATCCCCACCCTCAACCTGCTGCTTGCACTCCTTGATGCAACCCAGCACAGTGGGTTTGTAGTTTCAATTAGAAACCTCCACCCTTGTTCCTCCTTCAAATCCCTTTTCTACGCACACCTATTTGCCTCCCTCTCCAGATGAGTTTTCTTACTCAGACTTTCTACTTGGTCCTTCTGGTAATTCACATAGAATTATTTGCCAAAAATGTGTCATGCTGCCCCAGCTGCGTAATGAAAGGCACAAAGCTGGATGTGGCAGGGGAACACAAGCAAGAACTCGTTTTTAAGGGAGAAGGCTCCTATAATGGAGTTCAGCGTGTTCCCTTAGAGGTCAAAATGCTTTATAGAAGCCTGCAAAGACAAGAGTTAAACTTACTATCCTGCCTAAGAACCACCTGTACTCCCTATACACCTACAATACCCTACTTACAGGGATTAGCTATCCATTCCAGCTCAGCAGTGTGAAATAGAACACACTTAAAATCAATACAAGATACAAACATTATTGCACCCTGGTTAACAGCCAGTCTAGAGCAGCACGCTAAAACAAAGAACAAGCTGTGCTTGATGAAGAGTCCATGTTATCAGCATGGAACGTGGAAAAAGAGAAAACAAGACCAAGATAAGGGGCCCTGTAGTAGTTGTACAGAAGTGCAGTGAATTACTAGTCACATAGTCTGTGTACACCAAAGCTTTGTGTCTGCTTTTAACTAACAGGATGAGTAGAGAAGAGAGTGATGACTTTGCTAGAACCCCCCTTGCTAGAGAGTTCAACTTCAATCACTTCTTCATTTCCTAAATTCATTTAATGTAACTTACTATCTTCTTCTCTTCATTTTGGTAAGTATGTTTTATTCCTTCTCATAATAAAATGCTGATTTATCTTTTCTCTGCATCTTTATCATACAGTGGCTCCCTTTTTCAGTCCCTGCCCTTGTTTAGTCCCTTTCCTACTCTACGTAAGTTAGCTTCCAATACTGCATCACTTTCTTTTGGCCACTATCTTCCTTCCTTTCCTCCCAATAACCCTATTACCTTCAAGCTTAGAATCCACAAAATTAGGAAGAAATAGCCAGGCACCTGTATTTAAACTGAAATTCTACTGATCAGAGGCACCAATCAGGTGAGAAGCTTCAACAACTTCAAAACACCCTAGAAACACCACAGAGCCAAGTCACTGCTTGGGCACTTCAATACTGCAAACTGACTTGTGGGTACATGGAAGTCTTTTAAACCCTGGGCACTTGCTTTAACAGATCAGCCATTTTTCCCTGTGTTCTTCCCTCTACCTGCCTGAGCCTCATGATCATGACATTTGTAGGAAAGGCGTATGCATCAGAGGAGGCTGAGAATGCTAAAAGGACTTGACCTCATTATAATTCTGTGGGAAACAGCAAGAAAACAACAGAATCACTAGGCAGGAGTGAAAGAGAGAGAACAGTGTTCACAGGCTCCAAGAGGCATCAGTTAGTTGGAGCTTTTCTGCTCTCCAGTCACAAGCATGAGCAACTTGCCAAAAATGACTGGTTGAGGTGTAAGTTGATGGCACTCTCCCAAGAAAGCTTCTGCTTATGAAAGGGTGAATGTTGTCCTCTTCCAGACCTGCTCCCCTCAGCTCACATCACAGGAAACCCACCTTAATCTCCCTTTCTCCTTGTTGCGTTGTCCTACTCGGTTGGTTGATTTGATGTAAAGGTGACGGTGTAACTCATCTATCAGGACCAAGTGCATGTTCATCTTCTTGCTGTGGAGCTCCAGCCTCAGGTCACTCAATCCCTCCACCTGAAGAAGGGGACCCTCCAAGGAGTCCACAGCTGACACCTAAAGAAGAACATACATGACAACATTTAAAGGTCAATTCATCCACCTCAGGACTTCTCTCTTTGATTACAGGAATGTCTGAATGATGATTCTATCCATAAACCCCTTTAAAGCAGAAAAGGTTTGAGTAGTATTTCTTCATTTCTATTCCTAAAAGTCAATATATATAAAAAGTGTCCAAGATCTGAACAACTCAGATTTAATGAGCAGTCTTCAAATATTTGAGCATATGTATAAACCAAGTTAGTTAAAACACAGTTGGTTAAATACAAATCAAAGCCCAGATTACCACAAAATAGAGGATTAGCAAGTGGAAAAGCGTTAGAAAAAGACACTGACAATGATGTTTGATTTTCTTTCTTCTTTTCATTACAGAAACACCAACGAAACATTACTGCCAATTCCATAAGCGTGGAGAAAATGGCTCACATTTTATTTGCCTATAGTGATGTCAAGATACAACTGAAAAAGCTTAGGAGGCCTCATCTTCCAGCCGACACAGCAGCTATGTCCATATAACTATACAATTTAAACAGAGCCATCACGATTAATGAAAGCTATTGTTAGTTCAAAGACACTTTTGAACTCTAAAGACCATGGGGTTTTCTAATTGCTCTATTATTAAGGCTAAAATTAAGGCAAATATGCAAACAAGAAAGCAGCAGACAGAACCCAGTAACTTGAACAGGCCACAGACAATGTTCCTCTGCTGCTGTGCTTCCTTAGAGACTAAGAGACATGCAGTGGGCACTGCACTGAGGAACCTGATTTCATAGAGTCACAGAATGGTTTGGGTTGAAGCGACCTTAAAGCTCCTCCAGCTTCAACCCCTGCCATGGGCAGGGACATCTTCCACTAGAGCAGGTTGCTCCAAGCCCCTGTGTCCAGCCTGGCCTTGAACACTGCCAGGGATGGGGCAGCCACAGCTTCTCTGGGCACCCTGTGCCAGCGCCTCAGCACCCTCACAGGGAAAAGCTTCTGCCTCGGAGCTCATCTCAATCTCCCCTCTGGCAGTTTCAAGCCATTCCCCTTGTCCTGTCCCTCCATCCCTTGTCCAAAGCTCCTCTCCAGGTTTCCTGGAGCCCCTTTAGGCACTGGAGCTGCTCTAAGGTGTCCCCTTCAGGAGCCTTCTCTTCTCCAGCTGCCCCAGCCCAGCTCTCTCAGCCTGGCTCCAGAGCAGAGCTGCTTCAGCCTCAGAACATCCATCTGTATCTTTAAAACAAACATGGACAAAAGGCATCAGGAATGATAAATCAGTGCATAAAAGCAATACAACAAATTTGCATCCCTCCTAGTTTACTTGTTTTTCTCACTAGTTAATAAAGCACTTCCACGGTTACTAACAAAATGAAAAATAATGAAATGAAATTAAATCCCTCTGCAGTGTTCAAAACTTCAGAGCTGACATTGTAAGGAACTAGAAATAGCATGTTTTGCACACAGAGATTTAAAATAGATAAAACCCCTAATAACTAAAAGATATCATTAGTAAAAGAGGACATTTGCTGGCACTTCAGGATTTAAGTTTACAGCAAATCTGTCAGCTTAACATTAAAAATTCAAAGCAAGGGGATACAGGAAGCAGACAGCCAAGCTGAGGCCTGCTCCCTCAATACCAGTAAATATTAACTATACCAAAAGAACATCTATCAACGCTGTATTGTTTTGTTTGCCTCCAAATCAAGAATGACCCTGACACAGCTCTGGGGCCATCAGGCTTTTGAAATTGAGAGCAGTTTCTAAGAGGAAGCTGCACTTTCTCCTTCCTCCTAAGAAGTTTTGACAAGAAGTACCTATGAAGTTCTCCTCTCTGCATGGATGATGAGAGTGTGCACTTGATGCCAGGGTTTAGGATTGAGCTTGGTCTTAAGAAAGAATGTTTGTCACAGCATTAATCACAGAGGACTCAACAGGCTTCTCCTAAGCCCACCAACACTGTAACGTCAGCAGAATTCAGGGGGTTCCCATCACTCAACACCAAACACCGCAGAATCATAGAACCAACTAGGTTGGAAAAGACCTTCAAGTTGATCAAGTCCAATCATTACCCCACGACTGCCAAGACCACCACTACCCCTTGTCATAGAATCATATAATGGTTTGGGTTGGAAAGAACCTTAAGATTATCCAGTTCCAACCCCCCTGCCATGAGCAGGGACACCACACACTAAACTATGTCGCCCAAGGCTCTGTCCAGCCTGGCCTTGAACACTGCCAGGGTGGAGCATTCACAACTTCCTTGGGCAACCCATTCCAGTGCCTCACCATCCTCCTTCTTCCCAGTACCTATTTGTGAACAGTTATGGAAGTCTGGCCATAACACATCACAAAAACACAAAACCATCACACAGATGAGGCAAAAACCCAGATTCGGTTCTCGCTAAAAAGCTCTAGATCCAAGTGGAGACAGTTCGGCAGGCACACAGACACAGCTTGGAAACCTTTGGCAGAAGTTTCAGCTCTAATTTTCACCTTCTTCCTTTGGCAGATCAAGTACCCCAAGTTCCTCGATCCCTTTAACACCCCCAGGCACTGGAGGGGAGCTGCAGGCATTCATTGCTGCCCTGAAAGCTGTCAACAAACTCAGCAAAGCAAGAACAAAATCGGGAACAACATTTGTCAAACTGAGAAGCTGAGAGATGAAAATGCAGCGAGGGAAGAACTAAAAGCAAAAAGGAAAGTTATAACAAAAAGGTTCCAAAACATCCAGGAAAAGCATTATCTAAAACACAAGCAACAAAAATTGAAAGCTTTGTACTCAGATCATTCATCTCTTAATTTATCTTCCCAGTTTCTAAACAGTTAGCTGCTCTCAAAATCAGTTAAGACCAGCCTGGGTCCTGGTTTGGGTTGGAAGGGACCTTAAAGCTCCTCCAGCTCCAACCCCTGCCCCGGGCAGGGACACCTTCCACTAGAGCAGGTTGCTCCAAGCCCCTGTGTCCAACCTGGCCTTGAACCCTGCCAGGGAGGGGGCAGCCACAGCTTCTCTGGGCACCCTGTGCCAGCACCTCAGCACCCTCACAGGGAAGAGCTTCTGCCCAAGAGCTCATCTCAATCTCCCCTCTGGCAGGTTAAAGCCTTTCCCCTTGTCCTGTCCCTACAGCCCTGGTCCAAAGCCCCTCTCCAGGTCTCCTGGAGCCCCTTTAGGCACTGGAGCTGCTCTAAGGTGTCCCCTTCAGGAGCCTTCTCTTCTCCAGCTGCCCCAGCCCAGCTCTCTCAGCCTGGCTCCAGAGCAGAGCTGCTCCAGCCCTCGCAGCAGCTCCGGGGCCTCCTCTGGCCTCGCTCCAGCAGCTCCACGTCCCTCTTGTGCTGTTCCCCAGAGCTGGATCAGGGCTGCAGGGGGGGTCTCCCCAGAGCACAGCAGAGGGGCAGGATCCCCTCCCTGAGCTGCTGCTCACGCTCTGGGGGTGCACCCAGCACACGGGGGGTTCTGGGCTCAAGCACACACTGAATCCAGGTCATGGGGAGCTGCTCATTCACCAACAGCCCCAAGTCCATCTCCTCAGGCTGCTCCATCCAGTCTCCCCCAGCCCGTGTTTGTGCTTGGGGTTGCTCTGACCCATGTGTGGGACCTTGGACTTGGCCATGTTGAACTTCATGAGCTCCTCACGGGCCCACATCTCCAGCCTGCCTGGATCCCATCCCTCAATTACAGCTTTCAAGCACATCTTTTAACAAAGAAATGGAACAGTCAGGCATTTAGTGCACTTAAACAAAACAAACCCAAAACCCCCCAGTTTTACACTCAGACCTTTCTTTTTCTAGAAAAAGCTGGAGATGGTTTTGGTGGGGTTTATTGGATGGGTTTATTTGATGGCACTTCTGACACTTCATATTTGCAGCCAGACAAGCTTGAACTCCTGTCCTTGATAAATGGCACTTTCCCAGTGAGTGCACTCTACAGCCACATCTCAACACCAGGCACTCTCAGAGCCTTTTCACTTGAGGCCACCCCACTCCAGCCAGGCCTCACTTAACCACTGTTTTATCTTCAAAGATTTCATTTCCCATTACCAGCAGTTATCAAGAGAAAGCACAAGAGAAAAGCTTTCATGTTCAGAACAGTTTGGGGCTGGAAAGTAGCTGAGGCTCAGTCCAAGTTCATGGAAGTCAAGGTAAGGTCTCCAAGTGGTTTAGGTGGCAACAAGTAGAAACATTATGTTAAAAACCAGAAAGCAAATGTTTTCCCTTCTGTAGTTTTACTAACAGAAAGATGATTTAAGTCCTGACATCAAGCTATGAAGCAGCACCCCAGATGATGTTTCAGAATACATAATATGACATTAAAACCTTTGTCTGCTTCCTGTGCTGGATAACCTAACCACAGACCAGGAGCAGAAGCAACTAAAGTGAAACAAAAGTGTCTATAAAGAATGTATAAGATGAAAAATACACTACAGAGAGCTAACAATGGATCTGTTACAAGGAAAACCTTTCCGAGCTTGTGTCTTACCCTGTTATCCTGGGAAATGCCAGTTCTTAAAACTCAATTTTGGCAAATAACCACACTGTCTTCCCAGGAGCTTTGTCCTCCAGAGCAGGGAGATTAAGAACTAGAGGTGGATGGAAAAGACAGGGAGGCAGAAAGCAGATAGGAAGAGCAGTAACAGTGACAACAGCTCTGTTAACTACTTGGAAGCACAAGCAGAAGTAGTTTATAATTAGCTTTAAAGTCCAAGTATCCATCTGGATCATGCCAACAAACTGGTCAACCATCTTCAGAAGGAGCAAGGTTACAAAGGGACCTGGAAACCCCCCATGGTGGGTCAGCTGAGAACACAGGCAGTGCCACATGCAGCCAAGAAAAACATCATGAGCACCACAAATAAGACTCGAAGACTGTAAAAGTTGAATTCCTAATGGGGACTATCCATTGGCTGCCATTGGCAAAGTTAAATCCAGACCAGAATGTTATGCCCTCACCCAGTGTGTAACAAACCATCACTTCTATTCTGCAAGAGACCCAAATGCACGACACAAATACTGGAAGATGGCAGAGA